GCGAGCGACACATCACTAGCACTCAGTACTAAAGAGGGAGAATATGGCACCCATGGCAAAACAGGAGGATGAAAAAAATATGGAAACAAAGATTTTAAAAAATGTCAAAGCATTTCACAGAAAGTTAAATGCAGACTGTGGAAAGCTGAGCTTTGCTTTCACTACAGCACTACTGCAGTGCACGAGCATTTAAAAAGCTGGCACCCTGGAGCTCTGACGTCAAATTCCATCTAACATTATCAATAATTAATTATTTATATAATTAGTTAAATAGTTTAATTGGCATTGAACACTACGCCATCTGAGAAACTGTAAGTAACAGTCATTTCTAATGTTTATTTAATTTTTATTCTGACCATCCTGAGAAATATTAAAAATAGCTTTGATTATCTTCAAATTTATATGTTTACTGGGTCATTATTTTAATGTACTGAGGGACGAGACAACAGGTTGATATTCACAGGTGGGCAGACTTGAGCAGGTGACGTAATGGAGCCTAGAACAGGAGGGTTGCCCACAGGAAGTGGAGATAAGAGTTATAAAAAATAAGCGTTGACTAATCAATGAAAAATTAGTTACAGCCCTACTTTAACGAACTACAATCAAACTTTGTTTAAAAAAAATTAAACTTGACTTAAAAAACTTCACTAAGCTTTATGAATGAAGACCTTCAGACAAAAATTATTCTATTTACCTCACGTTTTTAAGTATACAGTATAAAATTACCTTCTGCACATCAGAGTGTAGTTGAGATGTATGTCACTCACCCTGCCAGAGATGCCCTTGATTTGCCGAGCGCTGAGTGGCTCAAAGTCCACGCTAATGTATCCCTCCATGGCAGTGAGAAGCTTCTTGGTGGTGCAGTTGGTGTTGTTGGCCTGTTCCCACCAGTTGCCCTGATACCAGCCAGGGATAATCCACTGATATTTACTCCCAAACATGTTCAGGTTATACGCCTGGTTTGGGCACAATAATCAGAGGTTGGAGCAATGGAAAATCAGAGAGATTCAGATTAACAACTAATCTTGTTGTTCTTAAAAGAAAGGAAAATGACACTTTGAAATCCAACCATCTAAAGTCCAAATTCTGTGCATCTAATGATATATTTAATTACGCCTTATTGAAACAGGATTAAAAAAAGGCATGTCAGCTTTGTTCATAGTTATAACACAATGCATTTTACTAAAAGCGCCAACTGTGTATAAGACAATTTCTATCATTTAAAATAAAATGCCAAGACAACAGAAGGCAACATCATAAAGAAACTTACACAGCAGAAGACTCTGGAGGCCAGGTTCTCATCAAACTGGCCAATGATGATCCTCACATCATTGTCCTAAAAAAAAAAACGTATTTACTTAAATGGAAACATTTAACTTTATTCAAACAGAGAAAGAAATCAGGATTATGCTGCACTACAATCTTATTATACAATCTCAATTTACAATCCTAATGTAATCGTGCAAGCTTTTTATTGTGATCTTTTGACTCCCTGGCTTTAATGGTGAAAAGCTGTCACAGCTGTCTTTTGGTGAAACTACATGGGTCTATATGCTATGGGATCAGTTTTGCTGTGTGTGAGTCTACCATAACTCCAAACAGTTAACAAACACACAGAATCAGAGATGTTGCATTTACTTTACTGTACATACTCATTACTATGTGTAATCCTCTAATCCGTACCTAGAAGGGATGTGGGACCTGAGGCACAAACCAGTTGTTGAGAGGCTAAGGCATTACCAAATTGCGAAGTCCTTCTATTAGAACGGAGACAATGTCAGCAGGCAGAACTGCTTGCAAACCAGGCTGAACTTGCTTGAGTATTCGAGGCACATGGCCTGGTAATTGTCTCTGTAAATAATTCAGAGTCCCCGGGTGGAAATTCAGCATGTTTCATGGTGGGGAAAAAAGATCAGGCTCTGCCATTTAGTGAGCACAGACATATGTGTAGTCCTAAACACAAGCACAGACCTACATGCAATCACACTGTGTGTCCACAGACAGTAGAACTAAACTAAACTCACCACTAAAAATACACACACTACTACCAATTAAGCATATTAGGTGATGTGCATGTCTGTAATGAGAAGGGGTGTGGTCTAATGACATCAACACCCTATATCAGGTGTGCATAATTATTAGGCAACGTCCTTTCCTTTGGCAAAATGGGTCAAAA